TTTTAAATAAAATATTAATAATTAATGAAAATACAAACCAAGTTAAAATTCATATTTTATCAATTTAAAAAACTTTCTAAAGAATTTCTTCTATTAGTATATTATATAAATTAAAGTTTAAATAATGAAAAATTTGCTAATTTAAAATATTAAAATGCTATGGATTTTAATACAAGATTTTTATTATATAAACATTCTTGTTATTTTACTTGTTTCAATAATTTATAAAATTCAAATTGTAATTATTGAATTATAAAGTTTCAAATAAATAAATAATTATTTTGTTTAATTATATATTAATTTATATATAAATGCAATTATAAAAATAATTAAAATAGTAATAATATATATAATAATATTATTAATATTAAAAAAATAAATGAAATATTGATAATTTTAATTTAAATGAAAATAGTAATATTCATAAATTAACAATAACTATAATGGTTTCATTTTATCAATAAATAAAATATAATATCTGATTATAAGAAATTTTTTATTGATTTTTCAAAAATAATTAATAAAGAAACAAATTATTTATCTAACAAAAAATTTATATCTTATAAATCCAATTATGAAAATAGTTGTTTTTAAATTATTTATTGTTTTTTTAATAGCAACTTAAATTTGTAAATTTTCATAATAATAAATTAATTTTTTATATAAGAAATTATATAATTGTCTTTTTTATAAATTATTTTTTTAAATAATTATTAGTTAAACCTTATGTTGCTAAAACTTTTTCTATTTTTAATATAAATCTGTGAAATTTTAAAGTTTAATTAATGAATAATTTAAGTATATATTATATTTAACTAATGTTAGTTCCACGAAGCGATATGACTCACTACAATTTTGAAAATTTCCCTATTTTCGTAAATTTGATTGCATGCGATTTGCGATAAAGTCACATTTTCATAATTTCACTCGAACGTAATGTTGCACAAGTAATGCATGAGCGACAACCCATGTCATTTATTTTTAATTTTTGATTTTTAATAGTGACTTCTCAAGTAATGTAATAAAACTCTTGTTCTTACCCTTGGTTTTACCAAATGCAATAGATTTAAATAGAATTTTTATACACATTAATAAAACCACAGCATATAAAATATAAGCATTATAGATGCTTTGATTTGATCAAAGATCGATAATGATAATTATGCGTGCTTTTAGAAGCTACAGTATATACGATCGTTTAATGGAATTTTTTACACTGTTATTTAAAATATAAATTATTGAAATTTTGCAAATGTTAATTTTGAAAAGTCCTTTGAATTTCGCAAACTTATAATACAAAGAAATTATATGTTGTAAAATATAATAGAACATACTGTATGTTGGATGTTAGTTAATTTTGTTTAGTAGCCAGATTCCGATATTATTTTTAGAGAATACTATAAACGGCTCATAATTACATTCCGTGCGGTTATTTAAATACTACTAGTCTTGTTTTTTAGCACTAATAATGATATTTATTTCCGTTCATGTTATTATTATGAACATAATAGGCATCGATTCGATTCTGGCTACGGGTTGGGTTTGACCTTTTTGAGCGAAGGCATTAACGTTTCCAGCTCGAACAAGGCCTTATTGTTTACAGTTTACGAATCAAGTGAATTTGTTGTATTAGCAAAATTGGTTGTGTTATTAATTTCATTAGAGTCGGTCAATCGCATTTGCGCCGTATTTTTCAATGTCATTAGTTTCTGCTTCTTCAAATTTCGCCTTTGCATAATTTTTACGCTAAATTTAATTTAATTTAGTTAGTTTAAAATATAGTAATAAAACCGTGAACAAGGCAATGGATAAAAGTTTAGATAATACATGGCTTGGACAATATAACATAAAGAATTCAACAATAATTTTGGCCAATTTCTAAATGCCAAAAAAAAAAAGATTATTAGCTTATATCAATTAAATTCGCTCTTATTGATTGCAATTTAAATTAGGAAACCACCCTAATATTCACAATAACAAACCAAGCTCCAAATGTGCTCACAAAAAGGGATATGATATCAAATTGTCCGATAGAACCGTGTTGCTGGAGCACCAAACGAATCCTTGAATAAATAAACTTAAGATTCTATTCTCTGCGCGCTTAATTTTACTCACCCATGCCTGTCTATTATGGTGTATTATTCATCTTGATTTAGAATATTTTCGGCAATTTTATATTCGTCGCCGTCAATAACTTGAGGCAAGTACTGGTAAGAAATATCATTGACCTGATTGAAACATAAATTAAGATTATTGAAATTTGCAAAAAAAAAAAAAAAATAGTTTATTGAAGTAAATGAAATAATTTACTTGGAAGCGAACGTTTGTGTATTCAATTACTATCACTATTACTATACCGGAGGATCTGTATGTTTCTCCGTGTGCCTTGTCTGCTCCGGGCGCGCTAAATTTGACAATTTTTATTTGATGTCTCACGTCTAGGATCTAAGAAACAAAGGAAAGGAACTGAATAATAATCCCCTAACCATCTAAGCTTGCTCTTGCGGCATCGAGAATTTGTTTTATCGTAAAAATGTCTCCATTGGCATTAGGATTAAATTGCATCTAATAAGTAACATTAGGAAATTCGTAAAGTTTAAAGAAAAAAATTTTGCATCATTTTCTTTTGTAAAATCCAAACTATTTATTTACCTTTGTCTCATTATTAAAAGATTGGATCACAGTTTTATCATCGGAAGACATAAGTTTTCCATTTAATAATCCATTACGGAGTGCTATAGACGTGGCATCTCTTATTGAATGTTCAACCATGATCTAAAATGATTTTTTATAATAAAAATACAAAATGGGTTAAATTACTGTAAAGGTAATATCATAATAATTAATTTAAAAGTAACATTTTATAGTCATACGTATAATCCTCAATGTCGCCTATGTAAGATTTGGGTATTGTAACATTCGAGTTAGAGGAAATTAAAGAAGAGCTTAGGATTAAGAAACACTGATCAGATGGACTTGAAACATTCAGGAAACTACACCCCGGAGGCGGTGAATATTTTATCATGGACACTCTGGTGGTGAAAAATGCTACGCCAGCTCCATCACTTGGATATTGGACTATTTAAAATTGGAAAAGTTTTTTGGTTTGCGTTGAACCCAATTGTCAAAATTAGAATTTAACGCAGTTATGCACTGTCATTAGCGCCCCAGTACAGACACGGAAGCGAACCATCAACGCAGTACGGAGGCTCAACAAGATTCTGGGGGGCTTTTAGCGTGATTCTCACGACGCAAGGTACCGGTAGTTCCTGAAAATTAATGAAATTATTACGGATTAATAAAAATAATAATCGAATTGTCTTGATATCTGCACCTTTCCGAGATAACCCTCATTAAATATGACCGTATTGGCGATGTATCCTATTGATGAGTTGAAAGAATCGATAAAGCCCTCCTAATTTTCGGCTGATTATAAATGAAAGTTTTTAGGCAATGGTCCATTTTTAAATTAATTTAATTAAGAGACACTTGCCTTCTAATTTACGCTATTTTGATTGTTTCGTAACTATGTATATATGCAGTACGAAATTAATTTTTTTAATAATAATAATTTTTTTGTATGAAAGAAAAAGAAAGACTTGGTTTTTATGATAAACGAACCTTAATATACCTTCAATAATTTTAATCATGTTTAATTAATTTTTGTGTTAATGAGTTATTATAAGTCTATTAAAATGGTTTAAATATATATTTTTAGGACTAATTGCAAAATAATGGAATTATTCTTTTTTTTTAAAATTAAATATCTTCTTCCTTCCTCACTCAATTATGTAAGATAAAAAAAACAATTCTAGTTGCATTAAATGACTTGTTAATACGGTATTTATATTCAAAATTGAGCGACAAAATACGTAATTATTTGTATTACGACAGTTTTTTAAGAAGAATGAATTTCCTCGCAGACGTAACGCACATACAAAATACGCCTGCGGATATGGTTCTTGTAAAATACTGACTGACCGATTATGCGGATCTGTTTGTAAACAAACTCAACATCCGAATAAGAATCTAATTTACAAATCAAGCAAGTCATTGATCATTTGAATTTATTTCCCGTCAGCCCATCTGTTGAGTAACATCTTTTAAAGAATCTATTTCATTAGTAAATGGGAAAAATTCAGTTACATTTCAATATAATGAATTATTAATTATTATTTGTAATTAGCTTGAAAATATTATAGTTAAATACTATTACTTTTATGCATTAACGGATTATAAATGTAAGAATCACGTAGATAAAAAAGGGTAAGCAAAAAGTTAGTCCAGAAAACCTTTCAAACTAGTTTGTTGGTATCTATTCAATCTTGGCTCGCCATCTATAATTTAATATGCCGATTATTTTACTTTATAATACAGTAGTAAACCTAACGGAATCCTCAATACATAACTTTTTATCCTTGGTTTCCGCATAAATCCGGTAGACATAATGAAAGGCAATTTCTATGTCTGAAGCGCAAATTGACTCTGATGACGATTTCACGGCCAGGAAACAGTATTCTTCTGCCTCTAAAGAAAATTTGACGACTCTCTCAGACCTTTTAAAAGTGATCTGATATAATAAGAATCTTAACGACATTGGATTCAGGAGTGATAAGAAATTTAAGTGAATGTTTTGCTTCGAATTTATTTTATACCCGGACGCCTATGATAATCTATCAAGAGGGCTTTATGTAAAAAGAGAGAAATACATAGTAAGAAAGAAGAGTATATTTGAAGATTGTTCCAACTAATTACCGTGTATCTTTCCTCAGTATCCTCGGCAAAGTTGGCAGTCAATAAAGAGAAGAATAAAAAAGCAAAAAATAAAGAAGTTTTTTATCACAAATTCATTTTTTGATTGATCCTCAAAAGTTCGTAATAATGTGTAAGTTAGACGAGATTTGGCCTCTTCTCTTTTATTAAAAAACCCATCGAGGGTCGAGGCTTCTCCAAAGCATCTTAGTCTAGTATATTTAGACATCGCGGAAGTTATGGATAATTAAGTTAAAAACCCTCCATGAACTTAAACTCTTATACAACCATTTATTTACTGTTAATAATAGTCAAAAGTTAAAAATTATTTTAGACAGTTTAAATATTGCAACCCGGTTGAGAATAAATCAGACTTATGAACCACTTGAGATTTTCGGACATAAATTTTACTTGGCGTTTCGACAATTATTCCGATTTTTCTAACATTCTTATTTCTTGAAAGATGCTGTTTCTACGAGTTTATATGGTGTTTCAAAATTAACATTGGTACATAGAATGAATAAAATTATTTCTTTTATTATAATTAAATAATTTTTGGAATGAAAATAAATATTTTCAAATTTTTTTATTCTAAATCACTTTCATATTTATTTTATTCTGGAATTTTATTTTAACTAAATGCATATTATATTCAATATTTTAGTGATAACGACTTGATATTTTTTTTCTTAATTCTTATTTACCATTTTTTAATATTATTTTTCAAGAAACCTTACATTAAAAAGGTTATTAAATATTCTTAAAATAATCTATGCTTATTGCGCATATAGAAATTTTCTAATCCTCCTTAGTTTGCTCTCAATATAAATTGTTATAAATTAAAATAACTCAATTGGATATATATATATATATATGAGTAGTTATTTTTGAAGGGGACAAAAATATTATTTAAAAATTTTCTGGTGACCTTTTTTATTTAAAATGATTTAGGTTATTT